TCTGGCCTCACGGAAAACCTGCCAAACTTGGTCTACTACAGGTAACCTAAAAAGAAGAGGATTAGAACTGCGTCCACCCAGAATTTCCGAGTGGCTGACAAGCATTCCACCACTGAACCACCAACAAAACTACTTGAATTCGATAAATAGTTTTCATTACTACATGGGCTTTTATTGTTTCCTTTTTAATGAATGCACTCAAGTTACTTAGATGGCTATATAACATTTAAGAGGCTGAGGATGTTAACGTTCACGGATAGTACAATGTATACTAACGCTAGGTCTAATGCCCACAACTTCTATAGTATTCGTTCCGCGTGGACCAAGGGCAAAGCGAAACACCGAAATTGATCAAACAAATTACTGAGTATATATCGGGACCGAGTCAGGGTGCGAGATGATTGCCTCACTAGCTATGGATCGTGTAAGAACGGAAGATCTTAACACGATGGTGTGCTGAATGGCGTGAATGCTTGACCGTGAGCCTTCTGCTAAGCGAGTTGACTTAAACAGTAAGGGCCAGCATTCGGTGCTCAGTGATGAATGCTGTGGCTGGTTGTTTCGTGGAATTACCTAGCGCTAAAATGGGATTAGGAATAATCACAGTCCCATTGTTGGTAAATAAAGACAAATTGAAGAATGAAAAAGCCAGATTAACCTCTTCTTTTAATATTTTAATTGGTTTCCTTTTAGTGACTACTTCTTTAATTTATATATAATTTATCGCTTCTCGGCTCTCTGAGCTAAGATCATGTGTAGTATCTGTTCTTTGCAGTGTAATTTCTGCAACGGTCTCTAAACTGAGACCAATGAAATTACCTGTATTTTTCCCTTACGGACGGGTGCTGTGAGCTTGCTGCGTCGGTGGCACAGTGGTTAGGATTCTCGCCGACCATGCACATGGTCCGGGGTTCGAGCCCACGCCGGCGCACACCTGATATCTATGGTCGGCCTGCAAAATTTGGGCTACCGATATCCATGCTGAAAATTCCATACTTGTAACAAAAATACAGTGTGGAATCAAACTGTAAATCAATCAAATCAATCAATCAATCAAATATTCTTTTTACATTTTTGTTAATGACGAGAAATACTTGAGTAGATGAACATCTGCTAATGTTTGCCTTCCCACCTTAGGCATGTACAGCTAGTAAAATTTAATTTTATGCTTTATTCCGAGATTTAGGAGTCAGTCTCATTATGACGAAGACCTACGTTGATTTGGAATATGTTAGTAACAAGATAAGACTTATAAATCATTTTCAGACGTGAGCACGCACATACAATTAGGAAAAAGTTATTTTGATTAAAACTTTAGTTTAGTGAGGTGTTTTGTGAAGAAATTGTATGGGGAAGTGCAACATTTCAGATGACTGAAAGAATATTCGTCATACATGCATACCTGTCTCTGGCAGTTCAAGTACTCTTCTTGTGAAATAACACGCGAATGAAATATCGCACGAAATCTCCTTCAGTTTCATTAATTGTCTCGAAATAACTGCTTGAAATATTCACGAATAATTGACTTTCTACCTTCATAAACAACAATTGCGGTCATTTGAAATCTTCGGCTTTGCGCGCTTGTTGCGTTTTACTTCAATGCTGGTCGCTCAGAAATGATGAGGTGTGGTTTTATTTGTCAGACATTATTTGGATAGTATGTTTTTTGTTCAGACTTTATCCCCTGCTTTAAGTAAGGATCGAATCAATCAACAGATTAGGTTGGCTAGGATAGTGTCGGGAAGTGAATTACCCTGTGACGTAATTACGAGTTAGAATTCAACCATCTAATATTATGAAGCTATAGCTTTTCAGAAGGAATAATGCACTTTCGTTCATCCTTTCCTCCCATTCTTGTTAGATTCAAACAAAGGCTGTATTTAACGCCCCTTATAGTGTATAATAAGGAAATTTTTTTTTGTTTTAGTTTTTTATTTTATGGTTACAGCTTGATTCCACACTGTATTTTTTGGTACAAGTGTAGAATTTTCAGCGTGGATATCGGTAGCCCAAAATTCGCAGGCCAACCATAGATATCAGGTGTGCGTCGGCGAGGGCTCGAACCCGGACCATGTGCATGGTCGGCGAGAGTCCTAACCACTGTGCCACCGACGCAAATTTGAGACGAAGTTTGTTGTTTATTGATACATATCCTCAGGATTTTATGCATTGAGTTACACCAAAAACCTTGAGACTGCCGAGAAATTTTCTATTTGAATAACGTGATAGGAAGTGATCTGAACCGAGTAGAAAATAACACGTGGTTAAGGTGTTACAGGAGCGGACAGTTGTTAAAGCACCGGAAACTGATGCGGATATAACGTCGCTCCACGCTTCCATTGTTCTATCCCACGCTTTTCACGTTCTGAAGATGTCCTTAAAATGTACAAGTGTAAAAGACTAGCATGAGAGAACAAGACGCACGTTTTGCTTTTCCAGTCGTTCAATATGGCGACCAGGGAGCCTTTAATGTGCAAGAAGTAGCCTTGTAACGGTTAATGTATGACTGTATATTTGGAACTTGCACGGGCAAGTAAAGCCCTCAGTATGAGTTGGTGTAATTTTCTGCCACACTTCAGTGCACACTTAGGTGAGAGTTCAATGACAGTACAACAAACGTAAATGTGCCGAGTGTAATTCGCTCCACTTGAAAGAATTTTAGGCTTTTTCACGAAAAATCGTTAACCTTTGGTTCCCGAGGTCCCAGCTAGTTACTTCACACCTCAGTATGTGGCTGAAATAATTCACTCCTCTCCGTATTAATCATGCACCACCTAACATTGTACCTGCAAAATCATTTTGAGGTATCTGTATCATGGAATCTGTTCTTTTCAAGGAATCGTGAATTTAACTTCCTTACAATATTTATATAGAATATTTACTTAACGGTCGATTCTTTTCAGTTTTCCGACCAGTGTTTCGTGAAATACTGTAGGGTGATCAGAAGAAAACTATTTGTGTTAAGATCCACATGTGATGGATTTATTTTATTTTAATTGTGCATCGATAGTGGAATGCTCGCCAGCCATTCGGACGTTATGGGTTCGATTCCTGACCGATACACTCCTAAACCTGTCTTAGTCTACTAACCCTTAGTAGGTCCTGGGAAGTGGGAAGGTTTGCTGTGAGGCTGGGAACTCCACCTCGTAAAAAATTATCTATACTAGAATTTCCAAAGCCTAAAGAATGTTAAAGACCGATCTTCCCTACACCTGCATGCAACAGATATAGTAGACTATATAAGGTAGAATTTTCCACATTGTTTATAGAATGTCTAACGTTGGGACAGCATTGCAGATTAGATGACGTCTGTAATACAGTGTTATTCATATATCTGTAACAGCATAAATTTGGAACTCAACTTGTAGTTCTCGCTCATCGTGGTTACAATTGGTATGATCATGAACGGCTTATTGTATTTAAAATGTCCAGTAAGTGGTCGTTTTTCAGTATGAATAAATGTGGAATTCCATGCCACTACAGTACCCAGGTTTCACACATTAAGGCATAAAAAATAGTCAACGCATTCAAGCATTTTACTGTCTACCTTTAATGTAGAACTTAGTGCAAATCAGGTTTGGGGATCATTAGCGTTTCAAAATTATGGGACACAAACGATACGCATTAAAGTTTTTACCCAAGGTTTTCAATGTCTTTCGTTTGCTTAAACCTTTGTCTAATAGGGGAATTTAGACCATTAGGAATGTAATCTAAATAATTATTGAAGGTCATTCGTGTTGTAGTAAACGTCCTTATTCAACTTGAAACAATCACATACAAATATTTTTCGGACAGCAAAGTAGAATACCATTAGGTGTAGCTTTAAAAGTAGGGTGTGTGTGTTCTGTAGCTTGATAAAGTATGATAATTCAGTCGCATCTCATTCTTAAACCCACCATCAGTTTCCCTAGCGTTGGTTTAATGTTTATCTAAAAGGCAGCTGTAAATGGGCTTTCATATTCTTAGTAAGATGTCACAGTTCTGCTCACCGAGGGAATTGCCTATCGTCAGTGATCTCCATCATAGTCCAGATAGCTATGTTTCTCCAAAATGTCCATTTTATTAAAACAAAATAAACTAATTATTGCACTCACATTCGTTTCCACCACTCACTATTGCGCGTGATCATTGCAGATATTTTAAGTTGGCTCACCACTAACTTACTAACAAACCGAAATGATTCTTGTCATATCAAACGTTTCTGACTAAGCTGCAACTGCTGACTATCTTTTGTTAAAACTTAGTTGTTTTTGTAACAGACAGTGTAACTTCTCATTCTCTCAGACTGAATGTCACTGGCATTTTTATATACAGATTCAGTTTTCTCTTTAAATCCAAACACAAAATGTTTTCAATCTTGGACCCCATTCTAATGCAGATTAACAAGTAGATTTCCAGAACTTATTTACTAGATTATCTAGCGATTTAATGTTTACTTCCACTATTATCCTGTTATTTGCAGTGATTTAATAGGAATTTATGGAGTTTAATGTTATTTGTAATCAGTAATGAATGGCTCCCGTCGTCATTTCATCTGTAATAGATTCTAGGTAACTGCTGGTATGGGAAATCTCAACAGTTTCGGATTAGGAGAAGTTTGAATTATATTCAAAATTTTTAGAGTAACCTGCGTTTCTTTTTGTTTCACTTATAGAGTTTAGTATAAATTTTCTGGTATGTATGGGACCTAAAACTCAGTGAACTTTTTCATCCATACTTATATTTATAAATCTTGACCCGTTAAGCGTTTGCTCCTTTTAATACTGCATTATTTTTGACAGTGATATAGTTCATTTGCACAGAGTGAGAAATTATTGGTCCTTGCTAATAGCTTGAAATGAGAACTCTGGATGTATCGATGACACCGGCTGTTGAACCACTTATCCCACCGGAATTGGCTGGGTTTGTTTGTGGAGGTATCTCAGGAACAGTTTCTCGAACAGTCACTGCGCCCATGGATCGTCTAAAAGTCTTGAGGCAGACTGAAGTCGCAGAAGTGGTGGGTAAAAATATGATTCAAGGTAAATGATTAACATCTTAGATTGCTTTGATTTCTCCACCATATATAGTATATTTCCTAAGCACTACCATTGGAATTTGTTTCTGTTGTGTTAATTGTGTGCAGAACTTACTGACGGTGTTGTACAAAGCAATACAAGAAAAACAATTACATATCTTCTACGAATAGGTTACGGCGAGATCATGTTATCCAGGAAAACTCCGTTGTCCTGGTTTTAAGTAGTCAGCTCGTTTAATCGCCACACGGTAGGGGAGTACTACACACTTGTTTACTTCGTTTTATTATTTAGAGAAAGTAAAGAGAAGTTAGTCAAAATAAGTGGTTATTAAATCTTCGTCGTAGCCTGTGAAGATTAACGGGTAATTTGCCTAACTGCTACAGGATCCTGGGAATCAGTTGCCTTTGTTGTTGAGCCAAATATAACTTCAGGTTGAGAAGTTTTATCTTTTTGTGATTCGGTTTGTAGTCTCCTTTTTGTCGACTAGATTGCAACCGTATATTGTTCACTGTTTGGTGCTAAACTGTATGGTGTTAAAAGCCAACAACTTTAAACCTTGCTTGTAGCTTGATATAAGTATAAAACTTGGGCACTGTGGTAGAGCATAACTCCATTATGGATAAGATTGTATTTTGATAAATCACAGTGTTGTACAGTTATATTAACTAATGACGTTTTGAGCAAAAACTATTGCTCATAGTCATATCAAGTTGATATGATATGATTATGAGAAATGGTTTGTTCTCGAAACTTCATTAGTTAATATAACTGTACAACACTGTGTGATTTATCAAAATAAAATCTTATAATGGAGTTTTGCTTGTAGCTTGACTGATTGAATTTCAACCTAGGACCTTTCGTAGAGGCACAGAAGTTCAAGTTTCCACACTCCATATAGCACACCAAGGTAGTAAAATTCCAAAAACTATAATTAGGAAAAATACACGGGAGAACGAATAATTACATGTAGAAACATGACAACTTATTGAATCTGAGAGAATAGAAATAGTGAATGTATCTGTTCATTTGAGAATGAATTTGAGTCATATCATTATCATTCTCAAGCCATTAGTTCTCACCATCTTGAGGACCCCAACCAGGCAGTCCTCACTTCCCTACGTGTTTCAAACCTACAGTCAGACTTCTTGAACTGATGCCATGTTTTAGTCTGACAACCCCTAAATTTTTTCGAACTTAATTCTAATACTTATAGTGTCTGGGAATTCAGTGGCTTTAGTCTTTATCAATTGATAGTCAGTCGATTTATTGCTTTTTGATGTGTAGAAAGTGGGACGATTTTCTGTGGAAATAGCAAACATTTCTCCTAGGTGAGGGAGGTGATTTTCCTAATTTCTGTAGCTTTAGGTATTTATTGGTTGGTCAATAAAATAAGAATTTTCAGTGTTCGTATCTCGTTATTTGGCTGCACTATCACGGGTCTATTGATCGATTGCATTAGTTTTATCATGTGAACTCACTGACTTTCGTGTTAGCTCACTCTGTGTTACTTTATCACTCAACATATATAAGTGATTATTTACGAAGGGTGAATTAGTTATGCACATATAATTCACGAAAAGCTGTATTCGGCATAAGCCGTAGAAATAAACTTCTTAGGCGTATCATTTTGGTACTTTTTGCTTAGCTGAAGTTCAAAATACAATACCCCGAAATTAATTTGCTTTATTAATTGTGACTTTATAGAATGCGTTGTCAGCACTTAACTTTTTGTCTATGTAAAGTCAAGAACAATCGGCGTATATTCTGGGTAACTGAATCAATAAGAAATTGATAAAATGCCTATATTTTCTGTGGTATGAAAATTCAGCAGGTGAAGTAACATGTGTCAATAAAAATAGTTTTCTGTGGGAATATTTTTAATGCAGTCAGTTAATTTTTTTAAGTAATGAACTGGATCACTGCTATAGGTAGCTATATTACATGATATCTGTTACTGACTCATTGTTTCCTTACTGATTATCTGTAGCCTGTGCATGGTTGTATCATCTCAGTCGTGTGGTTCACTCCGCGAAATGCTAGCAGAGGGAAGGAAAGAAATGGGTACTATTTTAATTCGGTGGTCATGTAAATTGCAGGGACTTAAGTACACTATTAGAGGTGAAATAGGTAGATAAAACTAGATGCTGGCAAGCTCATACAATCAGAAAAGTATGAAAAGGGTAGACATGCCAGTACCAGACAACTTTGAAACTAGATACACTGGCACAAAAAAGCCGAGTCTAAAATACTGCACTAAAGTTGGAGCGGCTGCAAGCACGGCATTTCGATAAATAGGGAGATGTGGTATATGCGTCTGGTAAGAACGCGTTGGTTATATTCAGTATGATTAGTTTGACAAAAGTTGTAAGCAGATAAACGGTTGGTGATATTTCCGAAATGAGAAATAGGCGAGTTCGGTTGTCCAAATAGCAAGCATAGTATAATGAGGAAGAAGTCGAGGGGAAACGTTGTGGAGAAGAGAATACAAAACTGATTTCAATTGTACTGTTTTTATGTTTTACCTGTACTGTAAACTATTTTACTGATGAACAGTTCACTAGTTCCCACGTTTTCCAACAATAGGGCCAGCATACTTCTTGATGATTTTACATGGTGGCGACTTGAACTGCCGCACATATGTGCAAAGTTCTACGTCGAAAACAGACAGACAGACAAACAAATTACAAACACTTTGACTCAATTTTCGTGAAGGTTTACGTTACTTTTACACTGTCCTCTTCAATTTATTGAATTATAAGGTTTCCATGCAATGGTTAAAGAAGGTGGTATATTGGCTTTGTGGCGTGGTAATGGCGTAAATATTTTAAAAAATTGCCCTGAAAGTGCCATTCGCTTTGGTCTACATGGATGGCTTAAGTCTGTAATTTTCCCAAATGTGAAAGGACCATTACCTCCAGAGGATCGTTTGTTGGTGGCTAGTTTGGCTGGCGCTTCATCCCTAACAATAACTTATCCAGTTGAGGTGAGTCGACTGTAATTAACAGAACTAAAGTCTGTTTTCACCATAATCATATATTATCTTAAATATCTGTAAAGTGTATTGTGTTGACATGATCAACGTCTGCTTAATGCAGAGCTGAGTATTACAGTATGAAACTAGTCTCGTATTCTTGTTAAGTTGAAGAAATAGAGTCAGTGAAGAAAATGACTTGGGCAATAACTATTGATCTAACGACAGTAGACAAATTCACATAGTGTAAGGCAACAACAGGGTCTTTATTGACTCAAGAAATTGCCTTACAAACACTTACTATTCCAGAAACGTGGGTAAAACTATAAGCAGTCACTGTAATAGTGCGGGATAATGATAATCACTTCATTCCAAACAATAATACTTGCACCACTAAGGACTGGAGCGTGAAGTCATATTGTTAGAGTGTAAGTATTGGAACAACAGTGATAAATAAGCTTCCATCTAATGATTAGATTCTTTACTACTCTAGCAAGAGGTATTAGAAATAGTCGACCTCATGAAGTGTACATCGTAATTTTGCCCATGTTGGTTTGTAGTCGATGGTAAGGCTTTCTCTATGAACGACAGACAGTGAACCGAATCTAACTGCATCAGTCGGATATCTGCTGTGCTATGTGGTCACGCTAAACTGATTCGCTTAACATATTAAGTAATTCAAGAAGAAATCGGCTATACAACGAGTAACTGGAAAGAATCAACGGTTCACAAATCCTGTCTGTTCATCAATGACTACGGATAGATACGTACAGTTTTAATGTTAGACACCCATTCCGAAGCTGGTAAAGGTCAGTGAATATTACCTTGGCGCGTCATAAAGAGCATCTCAAACAAACTTCAGACCTTCATTAACAGTTGGCTTCGCTCAATGCTCAAGATCAGATGGCCAGAAAAGAACAGCAACAGGGATCTCTGGTAATGAGCGAACCAACCAGGAACCGATTGTGAAACAAACAGGCAGGAAGAAATGGAGATGGATTGGCCATGCGCTGAGGAAACCATCAAGTGACTAGACAAGCCATTGTTCGAGTGGAACCCGAAAGGGAAGCGGCGAGTTGGTCGTCAGGGCGCGGGCGACTTGGAGGAGGTCATGTGAAGAGGAGATGAAAGCATGTGGGCAGACTTGGAGCGGGGTGAAAAAGTTGGCAGAAAATAGAAGGCAATGGAGATGCGCAGCTGAAGCCCTATGTTCCTCTAGGAATTAAAAGATATAGTAATAATAATAATACTAGACTCTTAGGTGGTCCTAAGCCCAAAATGGGAAACAGATTGTGTGTTAGGCTGGAAACCCCACCCCATGAATCCAAAAAATCTCGACAGAAACTGCATAGCACAAAAACATAAAAAGTAAACTTATAATTCACTGAAATTATAGAAGCGGAATGTCACCGATGAGAGCCTTCATGAAAACGTACAACCAGTTTTTCTTCTCTAAATGAGAGCAAAAGCAACCATAGACACGTAGAATGTCACCACAATGTTTGAGGCAATGTTTGCAAAAGAAACAAGATGATATGGTATAGGAATACTGGGAGTATGTGAGAGCAGTTGGAATGGAAGTGGGTAATTCAAATTTTGAACTAGAGAATCAATAGTCTACTCTGGTCTTCCAGACGACAATTATTAGCCAACAACAACAAGACTCAACTTGAAAAGATAGAAAGTTACAATCACACTATACTACGCACCTACAAACAACACAGACCGGACCAAGGAAAGATGGAAGACTTGGAGAGACAATTGCAATGAGTAATCGAAAAGACGCCTGATGGTGAAGTTAAATTCTAATGGGTGATATGAATGTCACTCAAAGGGGAAGCAGACAAGACAAGAAGAGGACTCATTATGTGTGAGGTGATACTAGGTGAAATGAATGAGAAAATATGATAATTTTCAGATATCTGCGAGTTTCGTGATTTGGTGATAGGAGGCAGCGTGTACAAGCACATGGATATATACAAGGCGATGCGGGTCTCTCCAGGTGGACAAATCGAAGATTGGATAGACTTCACCTGATTTTCTGGAAATCGGAGACAGCCTACTGTACACAAAATCGAGAAGACGGAGATGTAGATTGAAATCACTATATAGTGCAGGGAAGTCTCAAGATGAAAGCAAAGGCTTTTGAAGAAACTGTAGATGAATTAGAATTCAAGCCGAATATTTAGTAAGTGAAGGACGAAGCTACGAAGGAAACCTTCACTGCAGTCATCGAGGAAATATCGGAGATACTAAACAGTATGATCCAGGGAACCTGTATGGAAGGACATGGGGACTCTCTGAAAGCGATACGGAATGAAAGCTGCATAGTTGTTCAAAGAAGGAAGGTTAGAAATAGTTCTCTACGAATACATGTAAGCTTAGGCAGACAATGAGCTAGTACAGAGATGAAGATCGAAAGGAGGTGGTTATGACCTACACAGCACTAAGCAAAGTGGTGAAGAAGGATGCACAAAGAGAAAAACGACACTTTTATGACGCACTGTCGGTTGAACGGGAACAGGTTGCCAGGTCCCTATCGAGGGAGAGATCAATGCATATGAGACTTGTGAGACATAGTGAATGTGCCACCTGCTGCAACTCGTCTAGAAATACCACCACCAGACATAAAACTATCCGTGAACATCCACTCTCCGACAAAATGAGAAGTCTCTTAGGCTATAAAATTACTGGAATCCAGTGGAGAAAGCGGTAGAACCAGTTGGAATTTCATCACCACATTTGTCTGTATTAATTGACGTAATACTTCTGACCATAGTGGTAATACTAAAGATTAAAAAGCGTTGTACCATGTGTAATCTGCTATATAAAGCGTAATGAAGTCAGTGAATGTCTGTCACACCGAAGTTTGTTAAAGCTAGTGGGTTTGTGTTTCCTCAGTCAGACTGATCAACGTTTATGTGTAAGCCTACAAGGAAGTCTGCGTAACCACTATGAAAACTGGTGATTTGCGTGCGTAAAATAAGTGGAATAGGTATTAGGACTGCTTAGTGTTTCTCGATTGTTCGTGCCTGTTGTTGGTGGTTGAGGGACACGTGTAGAAGGACTACATTAAGGGAAGCGTGATCTCTAGGGAAGATGGGTTTCAAAAATATAAGAGTAAAACTTGTGCACTGTGGTAGAGTATAATTCCATTATGGGTATCAAAACAAAAATTTACCCATAAGGGTTTCAAAAATCTTCATCCACAGGCTTAAATGGGTGTGAACATTGTTTGTTCATCTACACTTGGAGCTTTGACGGCAGTTTGCAGTGTAGATGTTGAAGCAGTAGCACGTGATGTTTCAGTTGTATAACTTTTAGTAAGGTTTGAAAGAGTTGTTCTTTAGATTACCTAAGATACAAGTCGCTGTTTGGCTGTGCGGTAAAGTTCCACTGGACCGATGTTTGTCGATCTTTTCGTGGCGCCGGTAGGACAGCGGTTAGGACTCTCGCCGACCATGCACATGGTACGGGGTTCGATCCCCGCCGACGCACACCTGATATCTATTATCGACCTGCGAAATTTGGGCTACTGATATCATATGCTGAAAACTCCATACTTGTACCAAAAATACTGTGTGATTTCAAGCTATAATCAAAAAATAAAAAAAATTAACATTAGTTTGATTGCTTTGGTATCTAAAATCCTTATTTTTATATTAGTGCGAAGACCAATTGAGGCTTATTGAGGGAAATATACTCGAAAAGCCAAGTTAGTTTGAGGATTGTATGAAACACTGGTATGAATACTTGGCATATTTTTTGATCTGAAGGTGTTATTAGACGTCGTTGGTGGAGCAGTATTTTGCAACGCTTTGAAGCATGAGTAGTAGTAGTAGTCCCACAAAATGTTATGCTAGGTAAGGGACTATACTAGATAGATGGTGTGCTGTTGGTTTTGGTTACGGTGATTTGTCATCTGTAGGGCTGATCGATTCACAATACACTAACCTTGTGTTTATGTTTGGTGAAGAGGTTATCAAAGCAGAGGCTTGTGAATACCACTATGGGAAATTTTAGCTTGTGTGGCATGGACTTTTCCCCTGTTACCAACCTATTCTCAAACTGACACTAAAGTAGCCATTTGCATTCTAGCGATAAGAAATGCATTCTCAAGATTATGGGATCGCCATTTGTTGTTCAAAAGTTTGGGTTTCTTGTTAGCACTGTTTTTCTATTTGACACTGTCGTTTGCATACCTAGTCAATTGATGTAATAACAACGCGCAAGTCAGTGTTTGTAGCATCATTTGTTCAAGTAGAGCTCTGTAAAGCGATATCCGTAAAAAGCTTGAATAAAAGTAAGTAGAGTGGACTATGTTGAGGAGCATCACTGGAAGTATATACTTCATTGAACGACATATTGCAGTTTTGCACGTGATCACTAATATTCGAGTTTGTAACTATGAGTAAAACGATGCGCTTTCCAGACATACACTTCAGAAAATGATACCACTACATAGCCTTTAGATCTACGATGTTGGATGGTACGGTAAGAAGTGCAGTCGATGTTGATTTTTAGTTGGCGTTACTGTTTTAGAACATTTGATGTTTGGAAAGTATGTTGTCAATACACGTTGATCATATCCAAATGGAGCCTGGTTTCCTATTGGATGTGTTGTTAAAGCTTATATGATTTTGGGCTAAGATTTCTGAAGTTATGAGGATAAGGCTAAATCCACGGTTCTTTTCACAAGAGGATTTTCATCTTAGCTTGAAGATTGGCACAGTAATAGCATGGGGTAACGTGACTGCACAATCGCATACACACAGGTTTAGCAACTCTGGTGATATACTTTGCTAACTACATAGCGTTATTTATCACTGCCTTTTTCTTAATGCCTGTGGTTATTACTACGATTTGCAAACAGGTAGGTATTTGAAAGAAGCTTCTGTAATATTTGGAGTGGGAAAAGCTGAGTTTATTACTACTAAACGAAAGTGAAACTACACTGCCTCAAACAGATGACCATTTGACAACATTTCATATGAAAAGAATTCTTTGTCATCGATCATTTTATTCAGTCTGTTACTTTTATTAAAATAATATGTAGCTTGTTTATTATTCTTTTTATTTCTCTAAAACACAGGCATCACAGCATACGAGTTAGAATATATATTGCTTTTATACAATTATAATTTGATTTCTGATAATAGAGCTATAGTTGTTTAGCGTCATTCGCTATTTAGATTATCACAGAACCTTACGCGAATCTAAAGTTTACAAAACTAGTTCCATTTTGTTGGAAGCGTAGAGAATTAGCTTCATATTGGAAATATTGCGTTGTTATTGTTTTTATTGTGTCCATAGTTTGTCCCGGTTATGAGTAGAAGCCTTTACAGTAGCTGGCGCGTAATTATGTTCCTGTCCACCCAATCAAAATAATAAGACCCTTCATCATGAAAGAATGAAAGATTCCCTGGGTGGAAGACTTCTCCCGGAGCAAGTTGGAATCAAAGAAAATAAGTCACTAGTGAACCGAATTGCAATACTGCGTCGTCGTCGAAGACAGTCTGTGTTGGTTGTCAGAGTCATCCAGGAGCGAATCGCGGAAGCAAGGCAGGTGTACATTACTCTGGAATCAGTGTGGAAATCGATTGCATTTAGCTGAAAGAACAAGATCCGAACTTTCAACACTACTGTCAAGTTAGTGCTTCTATGTGGTTAAAAGACTTTGGTGCGTCTCGAAAAGCATTTCCGACAGACTAGATTTTTATCAACAGCTACTTTTGCTGTCTCATTGCTAAAGATCAAGTCTTTAGAAAGCATGAAAAACGTGGATCTCTGGCAACGAACCACCAAAAAACCTATTGCCCAACAAATATACAGGAGAAAATAGGGGTGAATTAAACACAGTGGGTTGAACGTTAAGTGATATCATGCGCCAACCCTTTGAGTGGAACCAAAATGCGAGGCGAGGAGTTTGGCGCCCCAGTTGGACATAGATGAGATCGTGTGAGGAAGAAATGAAAGCTTATATGCAGTCGCAGAGCCATCTAAAAATGACGGCGGACAACAGAATCAAACTGAGGTGTGCCGTTAAAGCTTTATGTTCCTTTTGGAATCCAATGGAATAAAAGTGATATTAATAATAATAGGAGTAGTGTAAATCAATTTTAACTATTGCTGTTTATATTTTAAGATTGTTTAAACCACTTAAGTGAGATTTCTGCCTTGTTTTAGATTTTAAAAACTCGAATGGCTTTGCGTAAGTCTCATGAATCAAATTCTATGTTTGTTACAATTCGAAAATTATATCATGAAGGTGGTTTACGTGGGTTTTATCGAGGCTACAAAGTCAGTATGATGAGCTATGTACCGTATTCTGGAATGGAGTTGTGTCTTTATGAAGTTAGTTTTATGCTTACAATTTTGTGAACTTTTATTTAGCTCTTGTTTTTAAAACTGTTGAGGTATTTAACAGTGTATCTTCAATATATTCACTTGGCTTATAGTGTCTTCTTATGTAATATTCCTTAAAACAATGTTTTGTCTATTTCATATTATAACTAATAGTGTATGGACTTCTAATATTTACAGGATATCATTGCTGCTAACTGAACATATATTTGTAGATTTTATTTCGTGAAAGTCTATCACCACTAAGCTCTATTTTTGTGTTTGCAAGTCTTAAAAAGTTCTTGACTGCAAAAATGGTATGTAGAGCATTCCGTCGTCGGTTACTCCGATACAGCGACTGAAAGTTTTCATGGTCTATATAGTATGTATGTTTTGAACCGTGCAATACGAAATAGTGTATGAATCCGAACGAACTAGTTGCTCAGATTGCTCTATCGTTCAATAGCTTTTTTTCAATAATTTAATAAATAGCGAAAATAATTAATAATGATGAAAGAATCTCTGCAGTGAAAGTACAGAATAATTAATGGCTTAGGATTGTGGCTGCAGTTAGGTTTCTTGAATAATTTGAGACGTGTGTATGATGCTGCCATATAACCATTCAACTCAGCGCATTGCATTTCCTAACTTTTCTGATATCCTTTTTTCTTTTCCTTTTCTCTTTTTCCAGATGCTTAAGAGACGTTATCTGGAGTATCATTATGCCCTTCAACAAAATTCAGACCACACAATCAAAGTTCACATGCCGGCTACAATAACTGTTCCACTGATTTTGACATCATCCTGTATTCCTATGCTGATCACCTATCCAGCTAACCTACTTAGAACCCGTTTTCAGGCATCGCCATCTCCATGCGGTGCTCCTATTTTGCAATCACTTCGATGTATCGTAAGGAAGAATGGATTTAAAGGATTATATCGGGGAATGAGTGCTAGTTTGTCAAAAACCTTGCCATCTGTTTGCGTTACATATCTTGTTTTTGAATTCACCTCCGAATTATTAGGTGTTCCTGGTCTTGGTTGCAAATAAGAAAAATAATTGCTCATATTTGGGGTATCAATCTCTCCGGCCCACATTCGGTGTATTCATAAGTTTCATATTTTATTTTTGGATAGTACAGGCAGTTGCATTTGGTTCTTCCATTTACTTAAAAAATTGAAACATGGAATCGAGTCATCTTTATCTAGCAATGTTGGCGATGATGATATGTTGATATGTCTTTCAGAGAACTCAAATTTATTTTCATTAAAAATGTAGAGAAGATTTTTATACTTTAGTTATAATCTCCATAGTAAATTAGTTGAGAAGTAATCGTGTTTTGTTCAACCTTCTTTTCCACTTTGAACTTTAATCTGGTTTTATTTCTCAACAGCTCATTCCCACTATTATTACTACTATTATTTCTATCCAGTTGTACAACGTTAATAATTGTCTCCATCATTCGTCTACTCATTGTGTCATCGTCGTTTATTCTGTCGACTTCTTCCTCTCTATGAATATCTTCCTACAATTTTAGTTATTATCAAATTTTGTATAGACAAATAGCGAGTGTTTGTGTTTCATATTTTACAGTTTTATATAAGATAAAGGAAATTCTGTCAAGAGTTATGTATAGTTATGAAACTGGCAGTCATATTGTCATTTGAGCAATTTGTAATTGTCACTCGTAATTACAATCCGAGCAAGTGGAAAATGATTCACCTTTATCCTAATACTTCTCGTTAGCTAAAAACTGCAAAAGTTTATGTTGAATTTCCGGAACAAGGGCGTACATTTTTGGGTTAAGCAGCACTAAACAGAAAAATTTAACATCTAGTGATAACATTCGTTTATCATTTACATTCAAATCTTTTATGCATTCAATGAACTCAAAAGTATCACGAAGAGAGTATTTGCATAAGTGTTGTCTTACCGGCTCCAACATTTCAGACAACCATTTGGCGATTGGATGGTATGGTGACCCTGACATGTCTAGAATCGGTCGAAGCGGCAAACCAGGTTTGTGCACCTTTGGTAAGCCATAGAGTTGGGGAATAGGTGATCCTGTCGGTTTGAGGCGGTCGAACAGGTCCTCAGGTATCAGACGGTCGTCCTTCATTCTTCTGAGAACATCTGTTAGTTGTCTTTCAATCAGTTCTGTCTTGTTTTTCTCATTGTCGGGCTTGGCAAATTTCTTGTCATCTGTGTAAGTGTTATCAGTTTCTTAATATATACATCTCTGTCCATTAGGACCACTCCTGATCCTTTGTCAGGATGTGTTATTATTAAATCTTTATTGTCTCTTAGTTCTTTGAGTTGTTTTCTATGTTCTTTTGTCAGTAGACGTCGGGCTTGAGTTTTTAAGTTGAGATATTGATTACAGCAATCGAAGTTTGTTGACTTAAAGTGTAGAAAATCTGCGTCGGAGACTGGAGTAATATCATGAGTTTGGCTTATGAGGTTCTCGAATTGAATATACGTATGAAGTCTGTTGCTGTTAAGATTGACATCACAGAATTTTAGTCCAAGAGATAAAGCTTCTAGTTGTACCTTTGATAACGGAACTGAAGAGTGATTGAAAACAAATTTATTAGGATCGCTGGGGAATTTATTCTGGACTTCCACGGGCTTCAAGCTTTTGTTTAGATCTGATTTGACATATTCCGCTCTTCTGTTCTGCACCAGAGGTAAACAGGGGAAATCAATCGACGAAGTCGTGAAGCTACATCGACTGAGATGGTTAGGACATGTGTTACGTATGCCAAGCCATCGCCTCCCTCGACGAGCAATGTTAGCGGATATAGGGTCAGGCTGGAAAAAAGCTAGCGGCGGTCAAACAAAAACTTGGCATCAGTCAATGAAATCCACAACAGTTGGTCTTAGCCACGTAGGAAGGTGTAGACTTCCAGGCTGGGGTCCTCGGGACGGCAAAAATCTATGGTTGGAAACAATTGGTGACATGGCTCAAAATCGTTCTCAGTGGCGCAGATGCATCCACTCCCTGTGACTTATGATCTCCAATGAAACTGTTTTGTATTTCTTTATTACTCCTTTGTCTCACACCTCTGCTCACTGTTTCTATTTGCTTTTCTTGTACTTTCTTCTCTTGCTTCGCGTGCTACACGGAATGTGGCGACTTGAACTTCCGCACATTTGTGCAAAGTTCTATGTCGAAAACAGACAGACAGACAGGCACCAGAGTACCGTATTCATCGAACGATTGCCTCTCATCTGATAATTCACAAAGAGCGGTAGATCGCTGTGATATGTTTCTTTGCAATTCAAAAATACGTGAACTTATAGAATCGATGACGTTTCTGGTGTGACGTTTAAGAATTTTTGAATTAGGATATATATGTTGTCTCCGCAGCGCTTTCCAGAACCATTTTGGATATTCACGATTAGTAATACAGCTCTCGAAAAATTCCAATTTTGCATTAACTTCGGCAAGTTTGATAGGGTAACGTAGAAACCCGGTGGGTTCCTTCACTGTCGAAGGGTCCTTGCTCTTTTTAAGTTCGTGGAAAATACCCTATGCAAATACTCTCTTCGTGATACTTTTGAGTTCATTGAATGCATAAAAGATTTGAATGAAAAAGAAAAATTTAAGTTTCATAACGAAGTGAGAGGATGAGTACTGATATTAGCATCATAAATGACAAGATAGGCAAACTGTTCGTTCACTAGCAAGTATTGAGAATAAGAGTAAAGGTTTCCCAGAAGGGGCTTCACAGTATATCAAATCCTTGGTCCTATTGCATTCTAGTTGTACAACTTGTCACTGAAGAGATTTCAGCGCGGATACCAAAAGCACAACTAACAGTTACTCACTTGTAGCAGGAGAGGTATTTATCTATCCATCAGATATGTGTCATGCAGCATTTCATTCTCTCCTACTTTAAGGCTGTGCGGCATATCAACAAAACAATAAGAAGAGGTAATTTATTAGAAACATCTAATTTATTTGCGCAACACAGTTCCGACATTCTTATCCCACGCATCTTTCATATATATATGAGTGTTTGTTGACAGTCCGTTGCTTGGTGACATATATCCATATATGTTTGTTGGCATGTCTGCTATATTCGCTATGTATAATTGGATCGACACTCCATTATGATTAGCCATTCATGTTAAGACTGTCTAATGATTTTTCCCACGCTTGTCTGAATTATTTATATATATTCGCATTCACAATTTGTGTGAACTACTTAACAACTACTTTACTTACTTACCACTTTGGTGTGAGACCATTTTATTTCGTCTCCTTGTGTTTGGACAATAGAAGTATCATCGCAAACCTAGTGGTCTTCTGATTTCCGCCTTCTCGCGTCAGGACTATTAATTTCTCGACCAGTCCATAACAAAAATTCAGCGACGAGTACATAACAATTTGGCGACGGGGAAAACATAACAATTTGGCGACGGGAAAACTACTATTAACCACACAGCAGCAACAACATAACAATTTACTATGGATCCTATTAAATTGGAATTATTGTTTGAACGACAAATGAAATTAATGGAAATGTTCGTCAACCAACAGACTGGTCCAGCTCCACCTTCAAGCAATCCCAATCATACCATGCTACCATCTGTCGACGGAATTGTGAACAGCATTTCACAGTTCAATTATGACCCAGAGGCTAATGTCACTTTTGACACATGGTATCAACGTTATGAGGATTTATTCACTGTTGATCTCGCCTCACAAGACGATGCCTGGAAGGTGCGAGTTTTGCTACGTAAATTGGGTCCGGCAGAATATGAACGGTACTGCAACCTAATTTTACCACAGAAACCACGTGACAATTGTTTCGATGATACAATAAAGTTGCTGCGTGAACATTTCGGAGACCACTCCTCATTATTCAGTATACGTTATCGTTGCCTCAAGCTGGCAATGAATGAAAATGATGATTTTCTTACTCACGTTGGCACAGTCAACCGAGAATGTGAGAGATTTCGACTCAGGTCCTTAACAGATGATCAGTTCAAAGCCTTGATTCTCATATGCAGTCTCCAATCTCCTCGTTTCACAGATATCCGAACTCGACTGCTCAATCAGCTAGAACAAAATCCCAAGTTAACATTACATGACATAGCTGATGAATATCAACGGCTGATTAATCTGCAGAAAGACACACACCTGGTCGAATCAACACCTCCGAGAAGCTCTGATATTCGTGCATTACGCAAGAGCAAAAATCTCTCATCAGCTACTCCTGACCCACCTACTTCTCCTAATGTTCCGCGGAAATCTACACATACTCGTCCAACTTCACAAAATACGACAAAGAAGACCCCTCCATCACCATGCTGGCATTGTGGCGCGTGGCACTTTGTAAAGTCTTGTCCATACAAAAATCATCGTTGCAGCAAGTGCAAGATCATCGGTCACAAAAATGGTTTTTGTCAGCCACGCAAACCCAGATATCAAAATCCAGCAAAAGCTCAACAAAATGTTGGTCCTAAATCCCCCAAAAAGTCATTGAGTCTACGCGCAACCCGTCAAGTCACAACACCAGCTATGCGGAAATATCTTGACCTTCAGATGAATGGTCATGATGCACGTCTGCAGCTAGATACCGCCTCTGATATTACTGTTATATCAGAGAAACTTTGGAATTATATTGGCAGACCACCTATCACCAATACTTCCCAGTCTCTTCTCAGCGCCTGTGGTGGGCGGCTCAAACTAATTGGTGAACTCAAATGTTCTGTTTCCTTCCGCAATACCAAATTCACAGGAATTTGTTACGTCACGAAGAATGATTTAAATGTTTTGGGACTTGATTGGTTCGATCGTTTGCATCTGGCTGATGTCCCACTAAATTCTCTACGCAATACAGTGAAGAAGCATAAAATGCTAGACAATTCCGGACGGAGCCGAAGCCGCAAACCCAACAATCAGACGAAACGACAGGCGTCAACAACAAGCCCAAAGGTCCCAGATAAACCCCCAGGTAAACATCCTACTAATCATCCATCTTCTCAAAAGGGGAGGTGATATGTATCCACATATATATATTTATGTGTGTGTGTCATGTTGGTCTCTCTTTCTGTTTGCTCGGTTAGTCTGTGACCACTTCACTTGTATGGACTTGTCTCCTTTAATAATGTGTATTCTCCTTATATTATATTATATATAATATGAGTGTTTGTTGACAGTCCGTTGCTTGGTGACATATATCCATATATGTTTGTTGGCATGTCTGCTATATTCGCTATGTATAATTGGATCGACACTCCATTATAATTAGCCATTCATGTTAAGACTGTCTAATGATTTTTCCCACGCTTGTCTGAATTATTTATATATATTCGCATTCACAATTTGTGTGAACTACTTTACAACTACTTTACTTACTTACCACTTTGGTGTGAGACCATTTATTTTCGTCTCCTTGTGTTTGGACAATAGAAGTATCATCGCAAACCTAGTGGTCTTCTGATTTCCGCCTTCTCGCGTCAGGACTATTAGTTTCTCGACCAGTCCATAACAATAATTCAGCGACGAGTACATAACATAGACCATACTTCCAAAGACTGAAGGTATGAAAACGGTAAGCGTTTCTGAATACAGGTGCCTTCGTCCAGCTGCTTGATTTAGATAGAGAAATATGTAGAGCATTAGTGTGGTTAAGCGTATAGTGATAGGTAAAGAGGGAGGTCAACCGATGAGGTTTAAACACTTTAGTTCAGTTTTTGACATTATGTCCAACTGTATAAATAACTGCGATTGAGGGTGAAATCGGTGAAGATATATCTTCTGCTGAAACTTTTTAGTTTTTCTCACTGGTCTCTCATTCGTCACTCATAAAATTGACATCAGCGTTTGTCTGTTTACTTTGCTATAGAACTAAAGACTTCTACGCAGTTTTTCTTAAACTAAAAATATTTGTTTTAGCTTCATGGACCTCATGTGTAACTGATACCTTAATATCTTATGAGGATAATCTGTGAATGCTTTGAACATTTCAGTGTCGTATTGCTCACTCTTGTTTGTGTTTGATGTGGAGTTTTATTAATTCTAAGTAGGATAACTTAAAGTGTGTACCTCTCTCCAAAGTTTTCAGTTGATGCATCTGTTTCTTAGTGTAGATGTCATTTACAAATTATTAAAGTAAATCATGAAATTTCATTAGTAATAGTAGGATATCTATAGTATAGTCCTAAAAAATTTTCCTCATTTGCTTTATCAGTCTAGTTGTGGTTTGGTTTTTTATATTTTTTATCGGTTAAGGTTTGTTTATTTTTCATTCATCGACTTTCATCTACAGACTATACTTCAGAGACGGTCTCAGCAATTTGACTTATTACTATTATTTCTTTGGGTTCCGAGTAGCACACAGGGTTTTTTCAGTACCTTTCCAATACAGCCGGTTGTCTGTTATCATTTACAGATGGTTCCACAACTGTCCACACGCTCTCATTTCCTCTTTACGTGATCGCTTCCATGTCATCTTCAGATACCCAACCCATCGCTCCCCATTTGGATTCTATTCGAGGACCCAATATGTGGTGTCCCTTAGATTTTTCCTCTCCCTGTATCCAGTTCGTCTTCGTTTCTTTTTGCCTAGGTGGTTTACTATGCATACGGACCTCTCATCACATTACAAAACTGAAGAATACTATACAGATCAAAGTTTACAATTTTCCTATTATTTAACTTACGCTTTCTGAATACTGCAAACTGACCCAGAGATTTCACAGGGCATGGAAATGAAATAAAACTTCAGGAATGTTTGGTTAACTTTTCTGTGCACGTTACAGCATGAGATTAGCGCCCTTTACTGCCAGGATGTCACACAGATTTCAACAGGGAGCATAATAAGAATCAAACTTCTGGAAGTTCGACAACTAAGGTAGACGTCGTGTCTCACAATGAGATTTCTGGTATTTCTTGATTAACACGATTTTATCTAACGCTAGTAGTTTGCTAAACAGATCAAAACTATATCGGTTACTCTTCGAAAGCCTATTTTTACGTGCTATTATCTTTTGGTTTTTCTACCAAACTGTCAAACAATATTCCAGACCGTAGGTGTTACAAACGTCCTGGAATAATTTGAACACCGAGTCAGATTGATTCATTATAAATTATGTAAATTAATCCCAGCGTGTTAAGAAAATCAAAACGAGATTTTTGTGAACGTTTCGCTGTGAAAGCCGCAGCTTCTTCAGCAAATTTATTCGGATTTTTATTAATCATCAAAATATATAGTCAAAATTTTTTACATAAATTGAAGTCAGTTTATTTGAAGGTCATTTGTCCATGGACATTTTTTACCAATAGAAATATGTAAGCAGTCATCATATATATTTGTAATGACTAATGTCAAATTGTTGTTGTGTTCACTCGCTTATAGTTGATTTGTAAAGATTAGATTTGTATGCGGCGGTCAAACAAAAACTTGGCACCAGTCAATGAAATCCACAACAGTTGGTCTAAGTCACGTAGGAAGGTGTAGACTTCCAGGCTGGGGTCCTCGGGACGGTAAAAATCCATGGTTGGAAACAATTGGTGACATGGCTCAAAATCGTTCTCAGTGGCGCAGATGCATCCACTCCTTGTGACTTATGATCTCCAATGAAACTGTTTTGTTCTTCGTTACTACTATTCCTTTGTCTTACACCTCTGTGTACTGTATCTATTATGCCTTTCTTGTACTTTCTTCTCTTGCTTCGCGTGCTACACGGAGTCTGGTGACTTGAACTGCCGCACATATGTGCAAAGTTCTATGTGGAAAACGGACAGACAGATTTGTATACCTGTGTGTGTATGTATGTTATTTGTCATATGGAAAATACGTGAATTCATATGTAATAAACATGATACTACATGATTATAAGCTTCCAGACCGTAGGCGTTACGACCGCTCTTAGCGGACGTTTTCATGGCAAGCTTAGAGAATGGCCCACTAAAGGAAACCATCGATAGTCTGTTTATGTATAAAGGATATGTTGATGATACCTTCATTGTATGTGATGAAAACTCTTCAACTGCCGAACTTCTTAGAATATTTAATGGCTCTCACCCATCTTTGCTTTTCACGATCGAGGAAGAGCCGGATTCTTCGTTTCACTTCCTTGATGTTAAGCTAGATAGAAGAGAGAATGGAACGCTGTTAAGGTCGATTTACCGAAAGCCAACATTCACAGGGCAGTACACTAACTTCAACAGTTGGGTGCCTTTAGGGAGAAAGAGAAATCTCATTCATTCCTTATGCTCCAGAATTAGTAAAATCTGCTCTGCAGAGACAATCGACAGGGAACTAGATAACCTTCGATTAAATCTCCTTAACAATGGTTATCCCACAAGGTTCATTGAACGTAACATCAAGAAAGAATCCGCCCGGAGACAAGTCACAGTACCAAAGAAAAAACTGTTTATGAGTCTGGCATTCAAAGGTGACACCATTTCAGAATTGATTAAAAATCGTTTATCTAAATGTGTTGAACGCACTTTTTCTGCAGCTGACCTGCAACTAGTTTTTACCAGCCGAAATATGATTAGACAATGCGTCAAGGATAGATTACCGCTTTTGTCCACATCTATGTGCATTTACTCTTTTACCTGCTCTTGTGGAGCTGTTTATATTGGACGTTGTAAGCGTAATCTCCGAAAACGTGTAGCTGAACACTATCCGGTTTGGTTAATGAAAGGCGAACGTAGAACTGCAAAGTCGTCTATTTGTGATCACCTGTTAGAGTCTGGTCATTTAGCCCCACGTGATTCATCGTTCAAAGTTATCTACATGGCAAAATCGAATCGATCCAAAAGTTTACGTTTTCTTCACTTATGCATAGCCGAAGCTTTAGCTATACATGAACAGAAACCTAAATTATGTGTTCAAAAGCGTTTTGTCAAACCCCTTTCTTTACCTTGGTCATAATAATGTTCTTTCTAGTTTTTATTTTATTTTACCACTTGAATTCTTTCCACTTCACTTCACATCTTCATTCTTATCGTAATCGTACTCCTAATTTTCAAAATTTTTAGACAACACTTGACATTTTTGTTATAAAACAATCTTTAATATTTTTGTAATTTATCCACTTCAACTCTACCCCTTATAACTTTTATCACATATATACGTACATTGACTGAGCAATTGTTTAGTGCCACTCAATAACCTTTTTCTGTAATATAAATACGACTGTACAGCTTGAAAATGAAGTCGTTGAAAAGAAATTTCTTCGCTGAACAAAAACTGTGTTTTTACTTATAATCAGTTTAGTTTTTGGGAGTGCTGACCACCTCATTCCTTTGGGAAATTACTTCAATCCCAATGAACTGATTACTAACTTAATCTCAGCGCGGATATCTAAGGGTTGTTTGGTATTTGCCAATTTACGTCATCTGTGGTTTAGACGTGACATCCGGCTATTGTGTGCACTGTGAATCAGTTCATGTCGTCCTTTTTACGGTTGTCAGACGAGGCCGTTGAGGAGGCTGAGTGGAAACATGTGCTGTACGTCGGTGTCACAGCGATTAGGATGCTCACCGACCACATGGCCACGGGTTCGATCCCCTGCCGACGCACACCTGATATCAATGTTTGGCCTGATAAATTTGGGCTACCGATATCACATGCTGGAAATTCTTTAGTTGTACCAAAATACTGTGTAAAATCAAACTATAATAAAATATATAAAAAATAAAACAAATAACTGTCTTTGACTCCACATGTCTGCCTTTTAAATCCTGTATGATATGATAGTAATGCTGAGTTTAGGTGTTCAGCGTTAGTTGAGTTCATTGATGAGGTTGGGGAGATGTATTGGTTAAGCTGACTGGGAAGTGTTACACCTGTCACGCCATCACCTTCTTTATGGGACAATGTCAACCGACACATCGTTATGTTGAAAAAGAAGTAGGATTTATCAGATCAAATCATGGCGTCCACTGTGGCTTGAACCAGCCACATGGAGGATTGCAGACTTTCGGCCTGGGGGCTCCAAGACGTAGATTATTGGTGACGTTGCTTAATCATTCAGAATGCCATAGATACATTCACATTTTACAAAACCCAGATGCCTTATTCTCTACATGCATATTCCTTATCCCATACATTTCCGTTCATTTTGGTTCTTTTGTAATTTTCGTTTTGATCTTTGTGTACTTTATAGAATATCGCAACTTGAATTGTAACAAAGTTCTGCGTTGAAACCATAGTCTCATGTGTCTTGTAGTGACCAAGACTGTTTTATACACCACTCATATTTTTGGTTACTGGATGGCTTCTGGTTTTTAATTCCTCTAGATGGGCTACATACGCAGACAATTGGTAGTAGTGTCTTAGTAATATGATATGCGTAATGTGTCATAGGTTTTTATCAAAAGCAGCAAAAAGTTGTTAAATTGTTAGGAATGATCAAGCCTGAGGCACATAGAGATCTTTATGCCATTTACCAAATGAGAAATGAAGAAAATCATTTCAATAGACTTGATGAAATTAAAGTAAGACTTCAATATGACTGAGTTTATCAGGAAGCTATAACTGTTTCTATGAAGTGAGACAGCTTCTTTCACTGACTAATGATGCGCTGGTTACTGTTTGAAATCATTCCACTTAATTTTCTGAGATAAACTCCAGAAAAGTGGCTGGCAAATAATCAAACCGGACTCATTACTGTTTTTGATGATGGGTAGGGGTCACCGATCAGCAGATTTGGACGACAATAGGAAATATTTTTTACCATAAATGCAGTTGAAAAGGCTTTTTTAATGCTATTTATAGAGCCATGAATTCCTCCATGAAATCAAGTCATTTAAAATAGAAAACGGTAATTCTGTTCCGTCCTAGATTCCTCTGAATCAATAATCCATGGATTCATTCTTAAGGGACTAAGACTAATAAAATATTCATATATTACCAGACTAAATAGTCTTAGATGAAACCTAAAAGTATATTATGTTCTTTAAAAATATCCAATATTCGTAGGTATGATAGAAAACCAACGAAAATATAAGAAGCACTAATAACTCTAATATTCAGTTCATTAGTCATAAATAGCATGCTTATGCAAAATGAGTGGACTACAGTAGACAGTTGTCATTTAATCGCCATGTCACTTGTACAGAAAAATACTGCAGTCAATCTGATCAAAACGAAAATCTGCAACTCATTCAAACTGAAGACTTCACTGCTTTAATGCCTACTTACGTCAATAAACGACTTTAGATTCGAAAAGTGGCCCATATTGTAATTTCTATATATCTCACAAGAAATAATTTCCTGTCACATTAAAATCCCCAATGCACTAAAGTTGCAGATTATTTAGGCGTCTTAAAATAACTATATTGACTATGAAAAATTTCCGTACATTTATATGTTATTTGCATCCTTTATATTGTGTACAGCCAACTGTTTGCAGACCAGATCAAATCTACGGACAGGTGTTATTACTGTCGTGAATGAAGTAGAGTTAAACATCTGATTACTTATTACTAATCTTTTTGAACTGTCTATTATCGAAGTCCTTTTTATTACATTTAGTTATCCTATTGTAGGGGATACATATACATTCCATAATCACTCTGCTTAATTTATCCTTTGGACTGATACTGATTTTCTACAGTTACTTATTTTTAATATTAATTTCTTAACAAGCTGGTAGGAGTCTGAGGGTCGTCGAAAACACTGGAATGCCGTTTAGTCTTTGTTTTCAGCTCTCCGATTCACATTGGTATTATAGGTGAGCACTACTGAAGAAACTCAAGCCAGGATCAAACAGATGTTTGGCGGTCTTTGCTTTTGACTGGTTGTCAAAATGATATTGGTTCATGACGAAATCTAAGGTAAAATTAAGCAAAATTATCATGTGCGAGTGAATTCAAATTTCACGAAACATTTCTGCAACTTATTTGTAGACCATTTTAAGCTTATAATCCCAGTGAATTTATGAATCCTAAATATTTGCTTATGAAACTTGTTTTCTTCTCCAAAACGCTGAGACTTACCGTCTGTGAACCTGTTCATTGCTTCATGGACAATATTTCATCTTTTTAATTTTCGAAGGTACCCTGGTTCCTTTTCTTTTAATTTGTGTTCTAAATTTTGTACAAAGTTAGAACTATAATTTATTAGAATCCCCGCCTGTGCAAATCACAGATCGGACGTATTTTTTTTAGTATAAGCTCTTCTTCAAGATTTATGTTCTTCCCTGCTTTTGTGCTTCTGTAGTGTTGCAGTGGTTGGTGTCTGGTAGACCTATCAAAGTTTCTTGTCATTAGCCAACGTCATAGAGTGCTTTCACATTATTAGACAAGAAGGGGACTAGCGTAC